GCAAAGAGAACATTCTACCTGGAAACAAGATTGATTGAGGATCATTGACGTTTTTCCCTAGAGTCCTTAGAGGTTCTCTAGAAAATATATATATATTGATATTTATCCATGTTCTTTCATTATAAATTTCAACTAGCCTGTCAAGCTGATCCTTCTTTTGAAACAGCAAAGTGATATTATTGATTAATGGTCTGAACCACCATAATGGTGGTTTCTTTGTTTTAACAACGACTCTAACCTCAGCAGTCTGTTTTTAAAGATTTCAGTGAGTAAAAGTTAAAGTGGACTTGAAGTCGATAAGTAAAGATCTGCTATCTAGAACTGGTAACTGTGCCTAAGCAATATTTTAACTTTGTTTTGAATTGCTACTGAAAAATACTGGCACCCTTCCTGTGCCTTGAGATTCATGGCTGTATACTGCATGTGCTGTGCATTTACGGCACTTCTACCTCTGATTACTAGTTTCAAAAGATTTGGAGTGATATTTGGTGATGTCACTGCTGTGCTGCTTTCTTTTCTCCTTGCTGGAGAGTTAATTGAACCTGAGGACCTAAGACAAGCATCTACCTGCTACTATACATGACAGATATTGTGCTCAAAGTCTCCTGCATACCATCCCACTGTCTCTCTCTCTGCTCCAGGTGCTGTTCTCTCAAGAAGTATGTCTTGTTCCATCTCTCCACAGCAATACAAAACCCTGAACCAAACAAGTATATCAACTAGGTCTAAATGTGAAAGTAAATACGTCAGCTGCAGTCCTCCCCACTCTTGGCCACACACACTGATGCGTTTCACTCTAATTGGGCCCAGTCTAACTGCTTTTGCTTCATTTTGTGGACATGTGCTTTCTGCATCCTCCTGCTGCTTTTTGAATATTCTCCCACCAGTCATCAGAATACCGATCATCAATAAGGAAACTATAAGATGAGGAAGTAAAACCTACAGTGCAGAACAAAGCATGATAAATCATTAATTGGGAAATGTTTAACATGGAGGCTGCAGGAAATACTGGTGACCAGTCCTTGTCCTCTGCTTGCCTTTTTTTGGAAACAGCCCCCACAGTTCCTCTTTAAACAGCTTCACCTTTATCAATGTCTGAAATAAGATATGTCTGTGTTGCCAGAGATCCGATCATAATTGCAAAATGTAGGCCAACTTGAATTCATTGGGGAAATATCCCAGCAGATGTTTCGCAAAGCCTCTAAAGGCAACCATATAATTAAAGCTGATGCCAGAGGGTGTGTTGCCAGATGTAGAATCACACCAAGGTGAAGCAACTATTTGCCCTAATGGGTATTAGTCCCTTGCTGTCTCAGAAAGCTGTAGAGTTTGGCTTGTAAATGAGGAAGCAGTGACAGAGCAACACCTCACTGGTCCCACCAAAGAAGGAGCAACCTCATGGAAATGGATAGTAGTTAGATTAGTGGTCTGTTACAGGTCCTATTGCTGGTTGACCAGTAACAGGATCCTTTTATGACATCATCTAATGCTGACCATAGACATATAGAAGTTTTTTGTTCAGCCTGCAGGCTGCACAGCGTGGATGGATGAGTCTACCTCTATGGGTTATTGTATTTTGACAGCCACCCCTGCCAACTGTCAAAATATCTGAACAGGGCCTGCATCTGATTGAATGCAGGTGCTGTTGTACAACAATTTTCCGCCTTTGATATTTCAATTGAAAATGTTGGGCAGGAGGCAGCCGACAGGGACACTCACTCAAGTGAATATCAGCTGGTTTGTCTTGAACTGGTAAAATTTTGGTCCAGAAATAAAGGAAAGAAAAAAAAATAAGGAAGGTAATAGAGTAAATATATAAAGTAAATATAGCAAAATGTAAATACAGTATAATAGAGTAAACCTAAAGAGCAATTCAGTGTACTGCTAATGCTCTCAAAGAAAGGTAAGCTTACCAATATGGTCTTAACAATAAGGACAAAAAACATCTGTGTAATTTTCCTAAATTTCACATCTCCTTACAGTCAGAATAGACAAGGTTGTTGCCTTCAGAGTTACATAATTCTGGTAGCGCGACTCAAATCCTACTTTGTGTGTGTACTGTCTGCTTTCCCTCTGCTTGGTGCTGGTCCCAAAAGGAGCATGTGTCTCTCCACATATATGCTACTATACCAAGCAGCGGCAGACTGACAACTCATGGGGCCTCCGGGCAATAGGGGATAATGGGGCCCCTGTGTCCTCGCCCACACTCAAACCACACCCAAAAAAGCCAATGAAAGGTACCAGGGGCCCCTTACTGACCTCGGGCCCTCGGGCAGTGCCCGAGTTTCTGAATGGTCAGTCCGCCCCTGATACCAAGTTCAGGCCACACTCTGTTAATGTCAACTGTTGTCTCATTCAAAATTTTCGGCTTCATTTCCTGTCTGTTGGCTCAGCCCATTTCATCCGGGGTTCCCAACCCTTTGGTGTTGGAAACCTGGGACTCTTTACATTTTATATTCACAGCATGGTAACTGTGTGTAACATAGTCAAACAGGGTACCCCTTCTCCCACCTCCTTCTATCTTGATTTGTGCCCACTATTGGTGGTTTTATAATAAAGCAAAGCTTTTCATTTGCAGACTCCAGTCATCTACGGTAAGAAGAAAAGAAAAAAAATAATACAAGCTAATTGGACATAAAAGTGATCCAGTTCTTAGGCTTCATATGATTTGTGATGACCTTCTCTCTCTGTTTCTAACAGTGGTACACAAAACATTTTGGGTGACAGCTTTATCTTGCTTCATTTTGCATTTATGCATTGTACTGCTGATTTTGCAGTATTATCTTGGTCAACAATGCATCTGAATTTGAAGCGAAAACTTTTATTGTTTTCCCTCATCACAAGGTCACATACACAGACCAATTATTGCTTCAGTATCAATTATGTTAGTCAATAACGCTCAGTATTTTCCTGTAACAATGCAGGCAGCTTAGAAGGTGCTTGAAAGCTCATGATAATAACAGAAATTCTGTGCTGTGCCTGGGAGGTGTTAGTGGATGTTCAACAATGGGGATTATGTCTATGTTTAGGAAAAAATGCTGTTATACATTGTAGTGTATTGTTGGAACCACTTAGAGATCAAAATGTGAAAGTAAGCTTCAAAGTTTGAAGCAAACAGGAAAATAGTTTACGTCAAATAATATTGTATGCGTTTCTCCTAACTTTATAGGTAACCTACTTTGATATATTTACATTTATTATGTGGATAAGCTGCACATTAAAAAAAAAAGGAGGTAGAGATAATAATAAAACACTTTTATTAAGGACCCTCTAAGCAAGACTTTAGTCTTAGAATGCTCTTACACAAGTCCTGCTCTGTGTATGGTGAGATTCTGTAACATTTTTTAAATAGAATCCTCCAGTCCTTCAAGGGGTCCAGGAGGTACAAATCTTTTTCACACTTTGCACCAGAATTTGCTGCCCCTTTGTAGTTTTATTTTCAGGTTTTTATATTTATTTTTTACTTTCAGAAACACACAAAAATATAGAGTTGGGGTTTAGTCTTTAAAGGTTTTTTTTTGGGGGGGGGGATAGTTTATTTTATTTTAATGAAATTTTGCTAAGGGCTTTTTTTCTTTTGGGGACAGCAGCATGCAATTAATTTTAAAATGTCATTTTTAGGGTTGCAAGGATTGGTGCCGATACTAAGCATTTGCATAAGTAATTGTACTCGTGCAAATGCTCCAATACCTAAAACCGATACCTTTTGTGGTGCGATTTGAGCCCATACAAAATGAATGGGCTCAAATTGCACTGTAAAGAGTTGCTTGTGATTTGAACAGGAACACAGTGCGATTTCTGTCCAAAACACATGTGGTTGTCATAGTGACTTCAGCCTGGGTTCACAATGGAGCAGTGCAGGAAACTGCATGTGATTTGGAAGGAATTGCAACGCATTCCTGTTCAAATCACATGCAATTTTTTGTCAGTGTAGTGGTGATAGTCTTTCCTGACTCCACTCTGTCAGACAGCTGCTGTAGGTCCGTACCTCAATATCTGCCTTGGTAGGAAGGGCTCTAATCAAGGTTCTCAGGTCCACTGGCCTGTCAGATGGAGGACTGGGAGTCAGAGAATCCTGCAAATGTAGAAATGGGTCACCGCTGTCTAAGCTGAAGGGAGAGTTGTACATTGCTGATGGTGCTGGCTGTGAAGCAGGTGCCAACAAAGAGGTCCCGACTGTTGTTGCTGCCACTGCCATCTTGGAGCGCCCCAGGATGGCCAAATTAGGGGAAGGTTTTGGGAATTAGCGCTGTATCTCTCTGGCTGGCTTATTCACAGGTACATGGGATTCCATGGGTCTTTTCCTCCAATTAGTGCTCATAGCAGAGGTGGCAGCTGCATGAATCCACCAGATTGCAGGGTGAGAGACGGGAGCTCAGCTTGAACATGTCCAAACCATGCTCCCACGAATCTTTGCAGTGTGATTTGAGCCCATTCATTTTGTATGTGCTCACATTGCACAGCAAAGGTATCAGTAATTAGTATCATCGAGTACTTGAGTACAAGTATCAGGACTCGTCGATAAAATAGGTATCGGTGCATCCTTAGTCATTTTTATTACCAGTTCCTACCACTTCTGTTGAACTTTTATTTTGTCTATACTATTATTTTGTCCTGCCAACATTAGCAGCTTCTACTACCTCTGTTGGACTGCCACCATTAACAACTCATACAACGTCTGCTGGCCTGCCTCCATTACTTGTTATATGTAAGCCATTCAATAATTTAAAAGTAAAAAATCTATTACAAATGCACAACATATGCTGCCAGAATAAGGCGTTGCTGACACTGTCTGTGAGATTCATATTGCACCAAAACACCACATAGAACTTAACCTCCCTGATGGTATTCCCGAGTGTAGCTCGGGGTAAAGTTTCAGTACCACAAGCGGTAACCCAGAGCTACACTCGGGCTTACCATGCGGCGCTGCTCCGGCATCTGTTCTTCACTTACCTTGTCCTGCGCTCCCGCGATGTCCCTCCTGCAGTGTCCCCTGTAATGTCCTCTGGCCGATGCCGGCATCTGTCATCTGGGTTCCGTCCCCTGCAAGTGTCATGATGTACGGGGACGGAACTGGCGGGTGATTTGAAAATGACAAAAAGTGACATTTACTAAATACACTAAAATCACATAGTAAAACATTACTGTATCAAACCATTTCACATACATTTTGTCCCTAGTGCTTTGTCCTGTGCCCTGCCTGCATTTTTACCGTTCTTTCTGCCTGGAAACTGAGAAATGTCCATGGCATCCAAAAAGTGTCCCTTTAGGTCAAAATCGGTTTTAGACCAGCTAGAGAACAGTGATAGTAATTTAGAACTACTTGCAGAATTGAGTGATAATGATTCGTGGGGAAATTCGTCATCTGAAAACGAATTTGCGACTTTGCTCAGTGATGTGCGAACTTGGCGCTCTATTTCAAATTTCAGTGTTTTTGGTTTGATTATATTATTGAATTAAATTTATATAATTATTATATTATTAGTTTTTATGATTATTTATTAAATTATAATTTATGATTTCGTGTTTCAAATTTTATCATACCCGGATGTTTACTAGACTCTTGTTCGGACAGATTTTAGTGAGTTATTCCTAAAAATTACAGGCCTACAATAAAAAAAATACATATTTCAATGCAAAAAAATGTACCGCTTTGAGCACAGAAATATGGACATATTCAGACCGCTAGGTAGGTTAAAGACACCCTCCAAGTATGTAACTGAAAGGATTGCTGTTTTACCATGTTGCCTTTGAAGTTGCATAAAAAAAAGGAGCACCCCCTCGCCACTGTAAGTATTTTATTATTTTTTTTGCATTGTGCCCCCCCCCCACGGCAGTGCTTGATTAATTAAAAATGAGGCAGTATATTAGCTAATATTTAGTATTTTTTTAAATCAGTTTATTGAACAATAATAAAATGGTTCAAAGTAAAAGCTCATCAATAAACAGTAGTTACACTATATTGCCAAAAGTATTGGGACTACCCTCCAAATCATTAGATACAGGCGTTCCAATCACCGCCATAGCCACAGATGTATAAAATCAAGCACCTAGGCATGCAGACTGCTACTACAAACAGTTATGAAAGAATGGGTCGCTCTCAGGAGCTCAGTGAATTCAACCATAGGACCGTGATAATTTGCCACCTGTACAATAAGTCCATCCGTGAAATTTCCTTGCTACTAAATATTCCACAGTCAACTGTTAGTTGTATTATAACAAAGTGGAAGCTACTGGGAACAACAGCAACTCAGCCACAAAGTGGTAGGCCACGTAAAATGACAGAATTGCACAGTGCGCATAAGTCGTCAACTGTCTGTAGAGTCAATCACTAAAGACCTCCAAACTTCATGTGGCCTTCAGATTAGCACAACAGTGCGTAGAGAGCTTCATGGAATAAGTTTCCATGGCCGAGCAGCTGCATCCAAGCCTTACATTCAATGCAAAGCATCAGATACTGTGGTGTAAAGTACGTTGCCACTGGACTTTACAGCAGTGGAGACGTGTTCTCTGGAATGACGAATCACGCTTCTCTGTCTGGCAATCCGGTGGACGTGTCTGGGTTTTGCAGTTGCCAGGAGAACGATAGTTGCCTGACTGCATTGTGCCAAGTTTAAAGTTTGGTGGAGGGGGGATTATGCTGAGGGGTTGTTCTTCAAGGGTTGGGCTTGGCCCCTTAGTGTCATTGAAGGGAACTCTTAAGGTGTTAGCATACCAAGACATTTTGGACAATTTCATGCTCTCAGCTTTCTGGGAACCCTTTGGGGATGGTCCCTTCCTGTTCAACATGACTGCACACCAGTGCACAAAGCAAGATCCATAAAGACAAGAATGAGTGAGTTTGGGGTGAAGGAACTTGACTGGCCTGCACAGAGTCCTGACCTCAACCAGATAGAACACCTTTGGGATGAATTAGAGCGTAAGCTGCGAGTCAAGCCTTCTCCTCCAACATCAGTGCCTGACCTCACAAATGCACTTCTGGAAGAATGGTCAAACATTCCCATAGACACACTCCTAAACCTTGTGGACAGCCTTCCCAAAAGAGTTGAAGCTGTTATAGTTGCAAAGGGTGGGCCAACTCAATATTAATACCTACGGACTAAGACTGGGATGCCAAGAAAGTTAATGTGAATGTAAAGGCAGGTGTCTCAATACAGTGTAATTTAATACAGTGGCAATTTAATACAGTGGCAATACAGTTTTTAATTGCTGTAAACACATCCACTTTACTGACAACATACGTATGTGGTGTTGATACATCTGAAATATTCTAACCTGCAAAGAACTTATGCTAGGGATCTTAACACTACTGGTAAAATGTTGACCCCTATTCAACATAGTTAAGAGAATATTCAATATGTAGTAATGTTTACTTTGGTGCTGTACAGTGAGGTTGATTCTTTGAGTTCATCAACATAACATTTCTGTTAATAAAGCCTTTTATGAAAGTGACAGTTCTGCTCTGTAGTGTTATTATTATCACCATGCTTCTTGCTCAGATATTTCACTGGAGAACTCTAGGGATGAAGTCAGAAAAAGCTAATGTAATATCTTATGAGTGTTTCTTCATCCCTGTGTTATGTCCACAAATTATCCAGAGTATTGATCATATACAAAGCTACTGAGCTGTTTATAAGGCTAGTCTTCAAGTCTAAATTAATCAACATGCAGGCTAAATTAACTTTCCTTTTCAAATGTCATTTTCTGGAGATGCTACTTCTTCTGAGTGACAATATATAATTATATTACCTACTCATTTTTTCTCTAAGGATCTTTAAGGTGAACATACATCATATCCTAGAAATAGTTTCATGTTACTTACAGTGCCAAGATAATGTTGCAAACTCTGCTTGGAACCATTTTTAGGTTTACCTTCCCAGCAAATTAAGGCAAATGTCATGCTTACCCCCCCATACACCAGGGGCTCTCGCAACTCCTCCTGTGCTTTAGCACACTTTCAGTGTTTCAACCCCCTTACCATAACCTGAAAAAGTGTTAATAGAAAAGGTTTCCTCTAAGCAGTCCTTCATATTCTCAGGTGACTTCTATGGCACCAACTAAATTCAGGGACTAGATGTGTGTGATTAACAGTAATGCAGCTGTGAGAGACCAGAATTAATAGCTATATAGCAAAGGAGATCACACACACAAGAGTTCTCTTCTTTAACAAGAGACTTGCTGTAATAAGAAATTCTGTCACTTTACCCATTCACCCATAATTTATTGTGCTAATTGTAAAATTGTAAAGTTGTGGGTTGAAAGCATATCTTGATATTAGTTCTCCTAAAAGTATGCGTTTGTTTTTCTTCTAAGATAACCAGTCTGGCTGGGTACACTTGCCCCTGCTGCCTTTAAAAAATATATATACTGTATATTCTTTATTGGCACACATTTTCAACACAAAGGGTACAGGGATAAGGAATAGTACACACTTGAAAGTGGATGCAATTTAGAGTAAATATTAACAGAGTAGATTCAGCCAAGACCAGACCAATAACAGCAAATTTGGTTTTAAGCAATGTCTCTACATCTTGCAGATAAATTTCTCAGTAAGTTGTCCCAGCTGCAAGCAATATGGAGAGGCAGATGGAACTTGGTTGCACTTGTAGTTGTCCTGCTTACACATCAGGCCCTTTTAGGCCTCCATTTTTAAGTTAAGCCACTTCATTACAGGCCATTCTTGGCCAGAGACTCCGGAGGTAGCACTACTTTCAATTATGCCAGGGTCTATAGCCCAGCTCAAATGGGGTATCTTTCCTCAGTGCCGCAGCCTGTGAACTCATTCCTCCACATTGGAAGACAACTGTGGTCCCCTCCTTTAGAGAATGGGTGGAGGAACTCCATCATGAGGATAGAAGAATTAATTTCTAGACTACATGTTTGGTATTCACAGTTCATATAGCTATGGTTTACTTGCATTGATTTATCTGCATCTTCAAAACGTCAGCCATTTCTTTGACATCCCCTACCGTGAGTAGGGCAATTATTGTGGGGTTTGGTGGGCACCAGTTTGTACGCCTCCCATTTTTTTACTTTTTCCTGCACTCTCTCTTTCTAGTATTGTTATATTCCCCATTTTCCTATTACATTTTCCTCTTTTTCATTCTCTTCTCCAACCTTCCTCTTTTCCCTTTCTTTTCCTCTCAGAACCATAGTCATAGCCTTGTCCACGATAAAATGCTCTTCCTTTTTGGGACTCTATATTTGATATATACTTTTCCATCCTTGCTATAGGCATAGCCTAACCTTTACTGCTACAGTGTTAGCTGCCTTGGGTAATTTGTCTTTGTCATTGTTTTACATAAGTATGGGCTACTCAAGACGTGACCACCATGGACATCTTATCTGTACAGTCGTTTTATCTTTTTTTTCCGTGTATTATGATTGTTATATCCCATATTGCAGTTTTGAATGTTACTTCATAATGGATCTGTGTCTCTGTTGTTATAAAAAGTGCAATAAACTTTATTGTTTAAAAAAAAAAGTTGTCCCATTGATGCAGGCTACAAATACATAAATTATTGTTTAGTCTGAGACAAATTCAAAGCTATGGAGAGATCAGGATCAGTTGAGGAAATGCATGTTCAATGGGAGGATAAATATACAAATGAGAAGACCGGAAAATGCAAAGCTGTAGAGTAGAAAGAAGGTAGATAAAGAACAAGAGGTAGACAGAGAACGCCTTTAAATGAGAGGAAAAAAAGGGGTTATTAGGGTGATATCATGGCATCTTGTGGAATAGAAAAAGGTTAGTCTATCCAAAGTGAGAAATACAGTAATAAACTCCAATAATAGGTTTAGAAAAGAAAAATTTCTACTCTCTCTGTATCTTCCCGTGGGTTAGGAGATTTTTTATTGGGTATACTAACAGTTATTGTCCTAGTAGTGTTTTTCTTGTTGCTAGTGAACATACATATGTCTTAATATTGACTTTCCACATGACCACAGGATCTGGTTCTTTCATTAACAAGGACTATTCTAGTAGAAATAACAGTCAGACAGGGGAGAAGATTGAGCTGCCTTTAAAGCTGAATACCAGGCAAACAGCTTGATACACAGATGAAATACATATAAGGGAGCTGTTTTACCTGCCAACGGATTTGTATTTCTATCCAGTCAGTTCTGATATTTGTACATTTCTGCCACACAGCACAACTTTGGCAGGGCAG